AGGCCTTCCATGTAGGAAGAAGAAATGAACCCGGAAACCAGAAAGGTGAAGCGCCACAGTGAGGGCAAGTGGCAGTGGACGAGATGGCTTGTGGGTGCCAGCGGAGACGCCTGCGGGTTTCTAGAGGTGAGAGGTGCAGGTGGAGGAGGAGTGCGGAAGCACTTGGGGATGAAGGCACCGTGCTCAACATCACCTGTCGGGGCTGAGGTGACGAAGATCTTCTGGAATCTTGGGGTCCTCCCTTCATTCTCTGGATCATTTCCTTGGCTGTGAAGCTTTCTTGCTTTGACACCATGATGATTCTTGATTTCCCTACTTGTGCTTTAGGAGCCTTGTTCAGGAATTGATTGCTGAGGCGACATGACGGAGAGGTGGCCGACTTGATCTAAGAGTGCTATGCGTGGGTTTCCAGTGTTCCCAGCACCGTGGCTTGGAGAGGCTCTCTTCTCCACTGGGTTTCTTGTTGCCTTGTCTAGTAGTAGGCGACTGCTGTTCTTGGGGGCTTGTCTTCTGTTCTTGGTCTGCGTGTCTGTCTGGGGCTGGTACGTGCCGGTGTTGTCACTGTGGCTCTGCAGAGCAGAGTCGGGTCTGGCATTGGGACGCCTCCTGCTTCACTTTGCGCACTAAGGTTTGCTTTGGTTATTCTGCGCCTTCAGTTTTTCAAATGAATTTCATGACTGCTTTTAAAATGTCCATGAAGAGCATCGTTGAACCTGTGTAATGCTCTCTGGTAGTATGGCCGTTTTGACAATGTTAATTCTGTCCAGGATCATGGGAGGTCTTGGCATTTTCTAAGGTCTCACTCAATTTCTTCTTGTGCTCTGTAAATTTCATTGTTGAGGTCTTTCACATCTTTGGTTAGATGGATTTCCAAGTATTTTATTTCTTGAGGCTATTGTGAATGGGATGGTTTTCCTAATTTCTCTTCAGCTGATTGGTCTTTGTAGAAGAGGAGTGCAGTTGATTTGAGTATTTACTTTGTATTCTGGTACTTTGATGAATTCTTGAGTCCTGGAAGTTTCCTGGTGCATTTTGGGGGTTTTCTAAACACATAATGTTGTCGGCAAACAGTTTAGTTATTTTCCTATTCCTAGCCCATTAGCTTATTTTGCCTAATTTCTTTGGCTAGAGATTTGAGGACTGTTGAGTAGAAGAGGTGAAAATGGGTATCCCTGTCTCATCCCTTTTTCTAAGGGGAATGCTTTTAGATTTTTTTTCCATTTAAAATTATGTTGGCCTTGGGCTTAGCATAGATAGCTTTTACAATGATGGGTATGCTCCTACCATTCCTAGTTTTTCTGGTGTTTTGAACATGAAGGGGTACTGTATTTTGTCAAATGCTTTATCTGCATCTATTGAAATAATCGTGTGATTCTCTAAATTTACTTATGTGATGATGTATGTTTATTTCTATATTTTGAAACAAACTTGCATCCCTAGGATGAAACCTACTTGTTCATGGTGCACTCTTTTTAATGTGTTCTTGTTTGTGATTTGCCAGTATTTTAGAGAATTTTTGCATTTATATTAATCAAAGATATTGGTCTGAAGTTTTCTTTCCTTTGTCTTCAACTAGTTTTGGTATCAGGGTGATACTGGCTCATAGAATGAGTTTGAAGGGTTCCCTCCTTCTCTATTTTGTGGGATACTTCGAGGAAGGTTTGTGTTAGTGTTTCTTTAAGTGTTCAATAGAACTCGGCTGAGAATCCATCTGTTCCTGGGATTTTTTGCTGTGGTGGTTATTGTTGGTAAGCTTTTAATGGCTTCATCAGTCTCATTACTTGAAATTGACCTGTTTAAATTTTCTATATTGGTTCAAGAATTTATCAATGTCAAGATTTTCTAGTTTATAGACATATACATTCTCAAAAAAGCTTTTGATTATCCTATGTATTTGATAGATATATGGTAGTATGTGGTGATATTTCCATTTTCAAAACAGATTTTAATGATTATCATTTTTTCTTAGCTAAGATTTTATCAGTTCTTTTTTTAAAGAACTTTTTGGTTCATTGATGAATTGTTTTTAATCACCACTTCATTGACTTTTTTGTGTGTGTGTGTGTGTGCTGATTTTAATTATTTCCTGTCTTCTGATCTTGGTGTTCTTTTCTAAGGCCTTGAAATGTAATGTTAGGCTATTTGTTGACCTTCTGTTCTTTTAATGTATGAGCTCAATGCTATGAACTTTGTCCTTAGAATCACCTTCACTGTGTCCCAGAGATTTTCATATGTTATATCATTATTCTCATTTACATCTAAGTATTTTTATTTTCATCCCTGATTTCTGCTATACATTCAATAGTGGATTAGTCTGTCCCCAGGAATTAATTTACATTTTTATATTTCTAATTTCATTCCATTATAATTGGATAAAATTCAGGGTATTACCTCTATTTTGTTATTTGTCAAGAGTTGCTTTGTGTCCTAAAACATGGTATATTTTAGAAAATAATCCATGTGCAGCTGAGAAGAAAGTGTATGCAGTCACTGATGCCTGAAATGTCTATTAAGTCTAAGTCGTGTATTGTTTAGATCTATAGTTCCTTTAGTTTTTGTGTGGATGATCTGTGTTTATTGATAAGAGAAATGTTAGTCACCCCAGTATTTCTGTGTTGTGGTCTGTTTCACCCTTGATATTGAGAAGGGTTTGTTAGATATATGTAGATGCTCCATTGTTTGGAGCATAGGTATTTATGACTGTTATTTCTCATTTCATGACTCCCTTAAGCGGTAATGAAATGGCCTTCTTTGTCTCTTCTGAGAAATTTTGGTTTGAAGTCCACTTTATCTATTGTGAGAATAGAAACCCCTGTTTATAAGATCCATATGAATGATATTTACCTCCCATCTTTTACCTTCAGTCTGTGGATGTTTTTGCCTATGAGGTGAGTCTCTGGGAGACAGCATATCGTTGGGTCTTGTTTTTTAATCTGATCTGCCTGCCTATATCCTTGAGCTGAGTCCATTAACATTCAGTGTTATTGAGAGAGGATTTTTATTTACTGTCCCTTTGATTTATTTCTAGTTTTTAAATTGAATTATATATTATTCTTCACCTTCTGCTCGTTTTTGTTTGTATTCTCCATTTCTTCTTCATGAAATATTTTATTGAGTATGTTTTATAGTGCCAACTTTCTAGTTGTGCATTCTTTGTTTATAGTGGAAGGTTTTTACTTCATCTTCAAATCTGAAGCTTAATTTTGCTGTATATAGTATTCTTGGTTGGCATCCATTTTCTTCCAGATCTTGGTAGATAATATTCCAAGACTACCTAGTTTTCAGTGTCTGGGATGAAAAATCAGCTAATACCTAGATTTGTTTACCTCTAAATGTGACCAGTTGTTTTTTTTTCTAGCCACTTTTAAAATTCTGTCCTTATTCTGTAGGTTAGACATTTTCATAATGTGCCTAGGAGTGGGTAGGTTGTAACTTTGTGAATTTGGAGTCCTATATACTACTTGTATTTTGTTTTTCCATTTCATTAAGATTTGGGAAAATTTGTTATTTCATTGAAAAGATTGTGCGTCCCTTTAGTTGTACTTCAGAATTTTCATCTTAGATTTGGTCTTTTAATTTTATCTCATATTTTTTTTTTTAAAATTCTGTTCATGGTCTTCTCTATGATCAACTTTATTTTCAAGATTATGTACTTCATTCCTATTAACATTTAAGATGTTAATTGACAAATTTAACAGAAATGGTAAGATCAGCCATTCTTAAAAATATTTTTAGTAGTCAATGGATCTTTATTATATGCAGCGCTGAGGATCGAACACATGCTAGGCAAGTGCTCTACCACTGAGCCACAACCCTAGCCCCAGGATCATCAGTTTTTATCAGTGAGGACAGTAAATATAAATTATGTCTGGCATAAAATTGAGCAACAGATATCTGTTTTCCACTACATCGTTTCTATAGCAGTATTTATAAGTTTTATAAGCCAATTACTGTTAAGAGACATTAAGAGAAAAGAGATTGAGGACAGAAAAGGGCTTTTAGTTTCAAGAGGTGAATAGGACAGATGCTGAGGCCATAAAAGGTGTTTATGGGGGCGGTGAGAAACAGAAGGGAAAAATTAGAATAGTTAGAATAGTTTGGCTGTTAGCAGGAGAGCTCAGGGGTCTCTCTTGGCGCTGGAGCAGCATGGACGTCCCAGAGGCTCCAGTCTCTGCACCTCGGGGTGTTTTCCTTGCACCCAGTTAGCAAGCTGAGTAGTCTCTACGTGGGCCAGAGCAGGCAGCCCCTCCCGTCCTGGGATTCTGTGCACCCAGACTGGCCCAGCAGCCTTTCTGACCTCCAGGACCATTTCCCAGTTCCTGCCAGGAGACGGCTCCAGTTGGTTAGGGGTCTGTGTGTGACGTCGTGATGATTGTTCTTTCCTGATTGGCTTAGCACCGAAAAAAGAACTTCAAAAACTTATGTCAAATTTAATGTAGCTTCTTACCCCCATGTTGACATATACTAGGTATACAATCAAAATATTTTCAGATTTGAGGAACTATTTGTAAATAACTTCAAGGTTATCTCTAGAAATATGACAAGTAACTTAATGTGTTCTAGATGTGTATTTCTAAAATTGATTTAGACAAACTCGTTGTATACAAATATTGATGCAGCCCAGCCCTTAGATGAATACATTTTACTTTTTAAAAACTCATTTATTTTTAAATGACTGTAGTAATTGGCTTAAAAGTAGCTTCCATTTTACCTCATCTGATAATCTTGCCCAGTTTAATCTCTTCTTGGGGGCTGGACCTTGTTTATTTTTATACTGTAAATAGTATGTTCTACCATGAAAAATTTTCAATTGTTACAGATTAAATATACTCTAATTCTATAGTGAATTGATGCTGTTCTTTGTAACCTGGTTATTAGTGCAAAGAAATTTATGGATGGTGTAAATGTTTTATGGACTACTTACAGCACATTAGATGTTTATGGAACTAATATATTTAGTCTTAACCTTGGCCTTATGTTTATGGTCTAGGAAACCAAGGTAGATAAGCACACATTTTGAATTTTATTGTTAACTGTGTGACATGAGGAAGTTGGAAACATGGAGAGAACCGAGAAATGTTATGTTTTAGAGATAAGAATATATTCTTTTAACCCTTAATTCAAATGGAATCCTGTGGAAAAATAAAGGTCTTCATGGGTGTGAAGATCAAAGAGTATCTGTCTAGTGGTCTTTCCAAGGGGAAAGAATATTCTGAAATTGGAATTCCTTTTTATCAAACGTCTCCTGACAAGAATCGGACAAGGGGTGTGACCTTATGTTCCTGAGCCTGCTCTTGGTTTGTAAGTCTGGTAGTCTGTCATATTTTCTAACTGTCACAAGGTCAGCAGTCTGTTAGCTTCTCGTGGCTGTGACTAATAGACCTGACAGATAACTTGAAGAAAGGTTTGTCTTGCCTCTTGGTTTCCGAGGCAGTTCATGGTTGGCTGGCTCCACTGCTCTGGGCCTGAGGTGAGGCAGGACCTGAGGGCACAGGGTCTGGGGGTGGAAAGCTGCTCAGCTCATGGTTACTGAGTAGGGGGTGGAGAGAATGAGGCACAGACGAGGTATCGTCCCCCAGGGCATGCCCCCGTTGGCCTACTGTCTTCCACCATGTGCCACCTGTCTATAGCCTCCACCTAGGAGTCGATCAAAACTGTTAATCCATCAAATGAATTAACTCACTGGTAAGATTGGCACCCTCGTGATCCGATCATTCCCAAATTCCCCTGCCCGTCTCTGGATATTGCTGTGTGGCCTTCGACACGTGCATCTTGCGGGGATAATCTTTACCTAAACCAAATGGTCTCTCTTCAGTCATTTGGGAAAGTTGGAGGATTTTGCTAACTGGGATTTTAAATATTTTTTCCCAAATATTTGTATTTGTGCTCTCTTTTTGGCACTGGGGGGGGGCGGCTCTATCCTGTAGCAGGTCCTCAATGAGACCGTTCAAGTTCTACTCCAGAGACGGAGTAGACTGTCAGGACACCTAGGGAAACCCCCTGACCCCTGGCCTGAGACCCCTGGCTGGCTTTCCCAGTACTGTCACGTGTGCCCTCTGGGGTGGCCTAGGCAGGAAGGCCAGCTGCAGCTTCTCTTGCTTCCTGGCGACTCTCATGCTAAACCGTGTCCTCCTCTGTTAACTTATACTTCACAGCACTTCCTACTTTATTTTCCTTTTCCTTTCTGAGGACTCGCCTCGTGGTCTTTTCCAATCCATAAAGTTACAATAACACTTTGAAGGGGCCTGCTAACACCAAACTCTTAATGGGAAAGAGAAAAGAAAACCTGAGCTCACAGGGAAGCCGTGGAACAGAGCGGTACAAAGCTGGCCGGGGCAGGGGAGCGTGGAGAACCAGGGCCCGGGAATGGATGGAAACCCTGCCTTCCCCTGTGGCTGCTTGGCCAACACCGAGTCCCCTGGGAGGTCTGCTCGTCTCTTTGGTCCCAAGAGGACAGGTGGCGTGATATCCGGGGACGTCAGTACAGTTGTAGTTCTGCCAGCAGAACTTGGTTCATGCACCTGATGTCCTCTGGCCTTGTTACAACAATAAAATAGATTGTGCCGTATGGGTGCTCCTTCCACCTCTTTGCACACCCAGATCTCTGAAAAGAGAGAATGAGAACAATATATTGATCTTAGAGTCCACAGTTGAAGAAAGGTAGTTTATTTTCAGCAACAACCCATGCTTTTAAGTAAACGCTTCATGTTGAAGTAAGGTTTTGAGAGTTGAGGATTTACAAATCGCAAACTGGGTCAAATTTGAGAATTATGAAATTATGGAGTATTTATGTGTATATTATAAACATGAGCATATTTATGATGCACACTTGTAATATGCATTATAAAGTATCATGGGCATAGGCTTATTTTCATTCCTTCAGTCTACTTAGTGCCACAAGACCATAATACCCCTCATTAAGACTGGGTTTCTGACCCTCGGTAGCTCTGTATTAAGAGCACCCTGGAGGGAGGCTCAGTATGAGGGGAGTGCTTGTAGACATACCTAAACTGAGTAGGCCTCTGCCTCACGGAATTCCAATCTTATTAGTTCAGTGGGTTCAAGAGTTCATAAGAACACAAAGCCCCACATTACATACTTTATAGAATCAGAAGTGAGTTATGTGGCTGTGAGATCGGTTAGTGTTCCACTGGTCCATCTGACAGCATTGTGTTCAGCGCTATGCTTTCTATCCCGTTTTATCAACTTTTACAATAACTACATAATGTAAAATCGGGTTTCAAACCCAAAACTCCAAAGATGGTAAAATAGATGCTATGTAGTTAATACTCTGGATTTTCCCATAGGTTTAAAATTAGAATATCCCATCATCAATTTTTTAATCATAAGACAATTGGTATAAAATTCTTTGGAAAAGAAGTAAATTGTCTATGTAAGTATCTATTTTGCACTGTTTTATTCTAAAAAGATTGGACTCATAATTTATTAAAAAAAATTAAAAAGGAAGTTGCCAAGCAGCTCATAAATTAACTTTCCTTAAATGTACCGGAGGTACCAGGAACGTTCACACATAGCAGCTCATTTAATCCATTCCCCACACTGTCTGGCTTTTTTTAAAAAAAAAAAAAACCAAGCCCAAAAAAGAACAACAAAAGGGGGGCCAACTAATTGAACAATAACAAAAAAAAAATAAATGGCAGAGTTTAGGTTCCAGCCAAGACTTTGAGCTATAATGGGTTTCCCAGCTCCCCATCTTTAGCTTAGAGTCATGACCACAGTTTATCCTTCAGCTATCAAGGTAGACACAAGACTTTTCTGGAGTGAAGTAGAAGAAACGGCTTCAATCTGTGACCAAAAGAACCAAGATTGGGTGGGGGAAGTGACATGAATGTTCTAAGAAATTATATGGTCCCTTCCTGTATCAGTGAATTTCAGCGTGTGAAGAGTACTCCAAGAGCACCATCATGGTCATAAATCAATGTTTAAGCAATCCAAACGTCATTGACTAAGCACTGACTCCATGCCAGGCACTCTTCTGGGCAACTGAGATATGTCAGTGATCAAAACAAACGTGATTGTCCTTAGAGATGGCATTTACTTCTTACATTTTCCATTTTCTGTTATGTTTTTGCAATTATGAACATTATACATAAAGCATATGGAGTTGGAAATTTCTTGGAAAATAATTTCCTATACTGATGCAAAAGTTGGACTTCACCAACATATAATTTGAGAATTAGCTCTTTTGTTTAGAGATACCAACAGTAAATCGAAATAAATTGTAGACAGGACAATTGTATATCACAAATTATCTCTGTTCTGAAATGAAGCAAAAGTGCAAATCATTGTTCACTGGGCTGGGGGGCGGGAACCTGAAGGCCAAGTATCCCCAGAAGTGAGGCCACGCCCACTGCAACTTCAGGGTAGATTCTACAGCTAGTCACTGTCAGGTTCTGACTCCTACCTGAGTGCAGCGACTTTGAGCAGAAAGCCAGCCGTTCCATCTCCCCGAGAAATTGGGACAACTGAGGTGGTATCTTTCATGCAGGTTCTTTTCAAAGGAGCCTCTCTGGATTTGACTCTTGTTCTCTGCCAACGTCCCAGGTGAATGGAGGCCCCTGACGTTTTAAGCTTATAATCTCTGTGTTTGCACTCTGTTTCCTGTCTCCACTGGGGACTTTATCATCATACTCCCTCTCCGTTTTTTTTTTCTAGTCCTTTGAGAGTCAGCCTGTGGAGTTAGCGGTGCTGTGGACCTTGGCCTGTGGAGTTAGCGGTGCTGTGGACCTTGTGCAGAGCCCTCCACTGCCACTCGTGCCCCAGTCCTCATCCACCTCTGAGCTGCTGCTACTCAGCCCGCACTGGACCCATTTTCTTAGGTTTTACGTAGTCATATTCCCTGGACATCAGCCTCAATTGCCTTTTATTCTCTTCCTACATGTTCAGTTCATCAGACTCAACATTTATATCCTCCTTTGCCCTGTAGGAATCCAAGTCTGTCCCCAACCTGGACTCCTCCTCTGTTGCTCTCCCTATGTATCTGCCCATGGGACGCCACCAGGTGAAGGTACGGCAGGCCCCCACTGAACAGGCCTCTGTCCTGTTGACACACACCCACTTCCTTCCTCAGGCTGCTCCACCACTCTGAACAGCTCTGTCCCCAGACCTGAAACACGACACTGGGATCCTGTTCTTCCCTACTGCATGGTCATCCAAGTCCAGTGAGAACCATCCCCTGCTGAGTGCTGCCCCTCCCCCTCTGGTTCCTCCTGCCATGGCCTTACCCTAGGCCCCTGCTTTCCTGTTTTCACTGCTGTGACTCCCTTTGGTCTGACTGGTCTTCAGTTTGTCTTCAGTGCTGTCAACGAGGTCTGTCTCCTACTCTGGTCCCCGAGCTCCCTGGTACCAGATAAGCACTGATGCTCATATCTTGGTGAATTCACCCAGTGACTTCATTATGGGATGGCTCTAAATGTTCAAGTGTTGCAGCATTACTAAAAGTAAATGTCATTCACGTAATTAAAACATAAGATCTTGGCACAATTTTGTGCCAAGATTAGCTAAATATATTTGAACAAAGACTGAGTCATTGATCCATCTTTTGCTGTCAGTTGAAGTTATCAATTTCCTAGTAACATCAGGTTTATAAAGGATGCTGAATGAAGGTACAGTGTTGCATTTGTTTTAAGTTGACAAGTAAAACAATTTCCACCTTGCCAATAGAAATCAACTTTTGTTGGGAAACGTGTGCATACACACACTTCCCAACAAAAGATATTACATGTGTATATCAATATGTATCAACACGTGTGGATTTGGTTTTTCAGGACAAACATTCAAAAACTTTGTCAGTGATATCTTTTTTTAAGATGGGAACTGAACCAAGTTAACAGCACAATTTTATCCATGTTGAATAGTTTAGAGATACGTGTTATGGTAGAATTATTTGTAATGGACAGAATGTAAAATCGGATGTAAGTGGATGTGTCTCAACACACACTGAACTGAGGAATCTGGAGATGTTTGAGGTGTGTGTCCTTCTGCACACTTAACAGGCCTGGCCAGGCAGTTGGGTACAGTTCTTTGTGTTTACTTAGTGTTTCTCATGGGTAAATTTTGCATAAGCAAATGTAAAATTTACATTTTGTTCAAATAATCGCTTATTTTCATTGAGGAACCTCTTTGTTTCTTCTGTGGCATAGAATTCCATCTGCAGAATCTAAAGTGGTTGGGCTCCATTATGAAAACAAGACAGAACCGTTAGCATAGACACAGGCCTGCAGGACCACACTCACCTTGTGCAGAGGTCTCCTCACTTGGCAAAGAGGAACTGCACAGAACTAGAAGCATTAGTTTAGTGTATCCCTGAGAAACTACTCAAGGGCACTTTGAATTTGTTTGCCACTTTGTTAATATTTTATGCTTCTCATCAGTTAGCAGAAATGGTAGCTTGCCTGCACAGTGATGCAAAGTACTCCGTCCTTACTAATGGTCTTTGAAATTATGGTTGTAAAAGAAGTAGGAAACAATACTGGCTCAAAGCAACCCATGAGTATTTCACTAAGCGTTCAATAGTTTTGTGCTCTTCAGGAGAGTTGTAGA